CACTTAAAACTAAAATACGAAAATTAAACAACGATTGCAAGAAGTTCAATTAATGTTCAAAATAAGTTTTGAATGGAAAAGAGTGCATTTTAAAAGTCTGAAGTACCTGAATTAGATTTTATACTATCTTAGTGTGATTAAAAGACTTTTATGTTAATATTCAATAAAAATTTTATGTCTCTCTAATCACAAATAAAATAATTGAGTTCTTCTCGGAAATTAATTATTTTCGTCTGCTTAAAAAATTGAAGTAGTTAATATTGATTGTTTTAATACATTTACATAAATTATCATTTATTTAAAATAAAACGCCGAAAAATTTTTCTTGGATTTATTGGTATTCAAATTAAACTTAAAATTAATTAGTTCGATTATTCTATGATTTATATAGTTGCCTTACAATAAATTTATATTAATGATTTAAACTTAAAGCACATGTGGCGAGAATGTTCTAAATTCTTTAGAACTGTAACCACTTAAACTGTAACCATACTTAATTACGAACATCTTCAACTCACTTCATTGTTGTTAGTTGCCCGTAGTAGACGTGGGTTACATGTATGTATTTTTAATATTATAAATTATGTATCTATATATATAGTCCTTTATCACTTATGCAAATAAATTTAAGGTTTTTTTGGAGTATTTTAATTGACTGAATACATCCCGACCTTTTGATATCTCATCAACGGTTCGTTGGACTAGAAAATCAAGATATTTTCTAATTTTAAAGATTTGATTAGTGAGATGAATAACATGAATGTTATTCACTATAAAATTAGTCTCCTATTAATAAATTTTATCGAAATACATTTTTAATTTTCTGTGATTAAAATTATTGGTAAAAATAAGTGTATTGTTATAAAGAAAATATGTATTTTTAATTTTAAAAAAGGAAAATGTATCTTGAAGGAGAACAGAATTTTATCTACACTTCTAGGATTTTTGATTGAAATCATTCCTTAGTATAGCAAAATTTGTCATAAATTCTCAGTAAAAGTATTTTTTTTAAATAAATCAAAAATAAAATAACTAATATTAAATAAATGCAATTTGCCGAAATGAAAATAACGATGTTTATCACATTATTCTAACAACTTTGCATATTATTACAGGAAAAAAAAACAATACATTTATAAATTTAACAGTTATTTGGAAAATATACTTTTCTCCCAACTGTAAATAAGGCTATCTATGAAAAATACTTTTTCAAATTACAGCTCTTTTTACAGAATACAATCTAATTTTTAACTATGGAATGTTATAAATGTTACTATAAACAAATTAAATAAATATGAACATTCATATTTAAAAAGCAAAAAAATATATATATTTTCTACTTTTTTTCTCTGTAACTTTCATTTAAAAATTTCATTAAATATAATTACAAAAAAATATAAGAAAAACTTGCAAATTTTTAAAAAATATTTCTTTACTAAAAATATTATGCAGTTAAAAATTTTGAACCTCTGATATTTTAAGATAATTCCAAAGTTGACGTCTTTCAGTTATAAAAATTCAAATATATTTTACGCCCATTTCTCGATTCAGATATTTACAGTTTAAAATATGCATGTTTGAAATAAAACCGAGTTCTAGTACACCTCCTCAGTTTCAACGAAATCCAACGATCGTTTAGAAAATGCATTTGATTTTATAACCCAAACTCTTACCAGAAACTGTCTGAAATCCTCCCACATAATTTTCCAAAACATGTTTTATTTAAGATTATCAAAATATTTTGAAGCATTAAGATACGTTGTTTTTCACCAACGCTTGCTACAGATCGCATGCGTTGGTGTTCTAGATGTGAGTTTCTTATAAATTTTCTAAGAACTTATTCCAATTTTTTCTGCAGTTTACCACCAGAATCATAAAAATACAGATAGACACGAGTCTAAGAAACAAATATAAAAGAAGAAAAATCTTTGATCCAGGAGTTTTTTATATTTTTCTTCCAAATAGACGATGGAGAAAAGGATTGACGAAAGGCTGTGTGCAATTGCAAAAATAGGACAAGTTTTGCTTTAAAGTCACGCAAGAAGTTTGTCTGTTCCTTCTGACTTTACATACAGCAAAAACATTTCAAAATGGAACTTGATCGTTTTTTTCTTAGACCTTTTGAGGGAATTGTATTCCTTTGCATGGAATCTGAATAATACTACTGTGATATTTGATTTTTTTCGTAACGCTGAGAGATCTTGGATTGATGTATTTGTATTTCTCCCATACAAAAATAATGGAAATGTTCAGAAAAAGTCTCTTCGAAATTATATGAATTGCTTTATGTGCAGCAAATGATTTTAGATTATACACCAGTACTACTCATAATCCAAATAATTGGATTCAGTGAATTCCTGTACTCTTTGGAACCAGACTGATCGAGGATTTCGATATGAACAAAAATTGATAATTTGTCGTAAAAAATGTTTTCAGTTAATAAAGCGAGATTAAATAAACCAGATATATTTGTATTAAAATCAATATGTATTTAAAACATTTTATTTTTTAAAAACGACAGTATGGATGCTTGCAAATTTTTTTCTTTTTAGGTTTTCTTCATAAATTTCTTTATAGCAATGAATTGCATACGTTATTATTGACAAATAATAAAGTTTCGTTCGACATTGGAACCAATATACACTCATGTCCATAAATTAAGGATAATTCAGAATCACACAGAAATTGAACTCTAAAATAAAAATTTCACCCGTAGAATTATCACACACATCTTGAAGAAGAATATGCAAATTACAGGAAACCGCCAGATGGCGCGGATAGTACGTCACAATGACGAGAGTGTAAGAGAGGGGTATATAAGGAATGGTGGCAAAGAAGTAAAATTGTTCACAAGCGCTTTAAAAGACTTTCAGTGCAATAACCGCATAGTTATGGCACAAAGGAAGAATTTGGAAGATTTTTTACGTGGTAGAATTATCGGACGACTGGAATGTGGACGTACCCAGCTGAAAGTATCCGAGGAACTTGGAATCGCCCAGAGTTTCATCTCCAGGCTTTGGCAACGATTACAAGATGATGGTAATGTGAGTAGATGTTACAGCACAGGTCGCCCCGAGTTACAATGCCGAATGAGGTCCGGTATTTAGCAGTTACTGCTAAAATAAACAGACGGAGCACAGCATCAGACCTGCCTCGTCAGCTGTCTTCAGCTACCGGTACGACAGTTTCAAGGCAGACCGGTACAGACGCTTAGGTCACATTGGTCTATATGCTCGTAGGCCTGTCAGATGTGTTCCACTTACTGCAACTCCCTATCGCCTGCGATTAACCTGGAGTAGAGAGCATGCATTGTGGACACAGCAACAGTGGTCTTGTGTGATGTTTTCCGACGAGACCAGGTTTAGTTTGCAGTCTGATTCTCGCCGGACTTTCATATGGAGAGCGCCAGGTACCCGTTACCACCAAGAGAACACCATTGAACGACACCGTAACGGTGGTGCAGGATGGCTCGTTTGGGGAGGAATTATTCTTGGTTTCAGAACTGACCTGTATGTTCAGAGTGTAACGATGACAGGCCACATCTATCGGGATGTCATTCTGGAAGAACATGTACGTTTGTTTCGGGGCGCCATGGGGGCTGAATTTCTTTTATGGATGACATCGGGCGTGCTCACCGTGCAAACATTTTAGACGAATGCCTTCAATTGGAGGAAATCACCCGTATGGATTGGCCAGCATACTCACCGGACTTGAATCCAATAGAGCATGTGTGGGATATGCTTGGCCGACGAAACAGCCCGTCAACCCCTCCCACCTGTCAACCGGAACTTCGGAGGGCATTGCTTGATGAGTGGTGTAATATTCCCCAAGATCAGATTGATAATTTGATACTCAGCATGCCTAGGCGTTTTAAGGCCTATATTGCATCGTCCGGGACACATACTCCATATTAACCATCATACTAACCATGTTATACTGTTTTTGTAAATAGGTTCTTTTTTGAAATTAGCTCCAGGGAGTAAAAATCGCAATTTTTATTAATTATATCAAACATATAACATCTTTTTTTGCTCTTTACCTTTTGTTTAATAAATAGACTTTACAAATAAGTCAAATTTTTTTGCTTCTGTCTCTTTCTTTGCCTGAACTTCATTATCCTTAATTTATAGACATGAGTGTACATTTGTTTCTATCTGTACTGTATTTTAATTTGGATTGAATATTGAACGGATAGTTTGTCTATCGCCTTTTCACTGTCCGTCTGTACAAAAGAGACACCTGCATCATGAACTTTAATCATTAATTATTTGTTTGTATTGTAAAGTAAATAATTTTATCCAATTCATTTATCTTTATTTAATTCATTTATTGTTATTTAATTCATTTATTTAAAATTATCAGTTTATTTTAAAGTGACAACAATGCTATCTTAAACTTTCATAAACTTTAACTTTTCAATAAATAATGCATTTTTATACAAACCAGTTAATGTTTATTAACTTAAAACTATTATTTTATAAAATAAAAGACAAGAACTTAATGCATCATGAAATTAGTTCTATGGAGCGTTCGTTCTAAAGTAAGCATTTTACTTTTCTTAATGAGGGTACTCTTTTTTTTTTTTTTTTTTTTGCATTCATTCGTTTTACCAGGATTACAATTTAAAAGTTTCAAGCAATTCTATTGTAAACTTGCACAACGAAAACCAATAAATATTAGTTAATTTAACATTAAAGATCACAAATATCCACTGTCTACTCTAGTTTACTAGCATACTTCATAGCTTACACGTTAAAAGTGGAATTATTAAAATATATTGTCAAAATTCAAATTCTCACTGAGACTCGTTGTATAACATATACGACGATAATACCCTAAAAATTGAAAGATCATATTATATGTCATATTACATGTCGTACATATTTTATATATCTGGATTATACCAGTTACTGTTGCAGTCAGTTTAAATAATAACCGCAAGTAAATTGTTATGTAAAGCAAATTGCAGTTACAATTACACAAATCTTCTAAATATGAATTGGTTCTCGTTAGATCACCGAAGTCAAGCATCATTGGGCGTGGTCAGTACTTGGGTGGGTAACCACCTGGGAACACCGCTTGCCGTTGGCCAAATTTGGGACCTGAATGGCCGAGCGTCTAGCGCTCTGGCGCTCGGTGCCACAGGTTTCGGGTTCGAATCCCGGCGGTGCCATGGATGTTTGTAGTGGTTCGGAATCCACTTTAAGCCGTAGGTCCCGGTCTCCTATGACTGTAAGAGCGTCACGGAGCAAAAAGTCAGGCTTCTACCTACGGGTGCTCCATCACAACAGAAGCTGCTTCCTTCCCCTTCAATCATGAGTACGTATGGGCTCGTGGGCTTGGCCAGCCAAGTGGGATAAGAAACAACAACAAACAACAACAACAAATATGAATTTAAAATGCAGATTAGTAAGGAGTTTTCAAAATAAAATAATATTTGGTCAAATATAACTGTATACATTATTATAGCTAATATCTTTAGTTATTATGTAATATATATTTAGATATTGGTAGCTCCTCTCTGTATATTTATATATATAGAGAGAGACAGATAGATAGATAGATTGAATAGATAAATTTATTACTAATGGTTGGTCCATCTTTTAGTTATTAAAAAACTTTTAAAATGCATATTTATTTATTATGATAATTTATATATATATATATATATATGTTTGTTATATGAATCATTTTGATTACAGTCTATACAATTTATTATTAACAGTACATTTTAAGAACAGTGAAAACTAAATTTCATTGTATTCCCTTTTAAGTGAATCATCGTTATCCAAAAGCGAATATCTAATTTCGAGTTAATAGCTAAAAAGGCAATCTATTGTAAAAGAATTCTTATTCAAATATTGAGAGAAGCTCATGGAATTTTGTCTCATGCTCAGCAAACAAAGTAACGAAAATCTCTTCTTTAATTTTATTTTTCCCTAGACTGAATTTCTTAAACTTTTTAATTGCATGTATTCCTTTGCCTGGAAGATGATTTTCATGAATGGTACTATCAATTATTTGAATGTTGGATTCATTTATCAATGAAGCGAAATCTTAAACTTCTTTTCGCAACAACTTGTAAAATAAACTAATTTCAGTAAAAAATATGATAAAATGTGTAGGAATCCAGATATATTTAATTAACTATATCACTGTGCAAATAGTGAATGTGTCTAACTGGAAATTGAATTTAGAAGAATAATTAAGCTAAATGGCTAAGTTAGGTATCAGATAATTTGCAGGTTACATTGAATGCAACCATTCGCGCCAGATTCTTTGCCACAATTAATAACTTCCTTAATTTCAAAATACAGTAAATGTATGTTATATGTCTAAATATGGAACAATTGTTGTGTGATATGTAACTTCTAAAGAAGATCGCATATGATGATATATTTATTAGACGAAGGACACTGGATTTTTTTAACATTTAATTTATTTGTTACGTTAACATTTTAACTTTATTATCAGCATTTTTGTCAACATTAAATTTATGTCTTACGCTAACATTGCGTTTACATTTTAACTTTATTAAAAAGATTTTTGTTAACATTAAATTTATTTGTTACGTTAACATTTTAACTTTATTATTAACATGTTTGTTAACATTTAATTTATTTCTTACGTTAACCTTTTAACTTTATTATTAACATTTTTTTAACATTTAATTTATTTGTTACGTTAACATTTTAACTTTATTATTAGCATTTTTGTTAACATTAACGAAATTCTGTTCTGTAATTAATTTAATAGGTCACAAAAATAAACATCATAATTTCCAATATTTCTTAATAAAAACATCATAATAAATAAACCCGATTTTTTCCAGTGTTTCTTAATAAAAAACATCATAATAAATAAACCTCATAATTTCCAGTATTTCTTAATACATAAAACCTCATAATAAATAAACCTCATAATTTTCAATTATCCATATCTTTTCATTAAAAGATAGGTAAGCGAAAAAGTGTAAACTAATTACTAAGTACTCATTTAATATAATAATTTAAAGGGTTAAATGTTTTATTACTTTAAGACAATCTCCATATTTAATCACTTATATTAAATGCTGTATTATTTTATTAATTATCTTTTATTTGAAATCACAACGACATTGCAGACACAGAGAAATGTACATACCTCCAGCAAATACTCTCAATTTATTCAATCAATTCGAAACACTCTTCTTCGATAACTTAATTAAATATAAATTATATGAAGCTTATTAATCACATTAGAGTGCAAGGATTTAAATTAAAAAAGAAGCGAATTTAAAACACGTCATTTCTTTTTCTTTTTTTTCTATCTTCATGCACTTATTCTATTTTTTTATACGAATTTACTTTTTATGCATAGTTAAACTGTAACACATGGGTGGAAAAAAAATGGCCGAGTCCCCATCTGGAAAATTAGTACGAAGTGAAAAACGAAGATCCAAAAAAGTACAAAAAAGTACAAAAAAAATCGATGGAAGGAACTGAAAGCGTATAATCTCCTAATGTAGTGATTGATTGTGCCCTTTAATAACCTTCAACTCATTCGTAGCAGGTAGAGTGGTGTAAAATTCCCCTATATTTAAAATAAAATTAAGAGGATCGACAGGTAATAAAACGAGAATAATTATATTAATCAAATAAGGGTGTGGAAAAAAAGACAAAAATCGGATATAAATTAAGACTTGTTTTATCTTCTCCATGAGGTTGCAAAAATGTAGCACAAAAAATGATAAACTTTTTTATAATATCATTTAATCGTCAGAATATTGTAGTTACAATGTTAGATTTTTGTTTTTAATGAATCTTCATTCTCAATATAGTGTAGATTTTTTTTATTTTAACACATATGTTTATTTTTAAAAAATTCAATCAAATTTAATCCTTTTCTACTTTAAAAAACGAATTATATTTAATTTTGGCACTTATAAGAATCAAATTATGGAAACGAAATTGAAAAAAAATCATTTTATGTTAAATACAACATGCTCCGCAACGCAAAGTGAGCCCCAAACGATGTATAAAGGCACATTGTATTTTACCCATCTAATTATTGCTTGCTAGAATAAAAACATTGCTTCACAAAATTTTTGATTGCCATTCAGTATTATTCAAAAGAACAGAAATAATATGTGCAAAATTGCCTAAAAAAAGAACATCATTGTAAAAGTTTTCTTTATAAGAAATTGTCATGTGAGGCATGTTTCTGATCAGGGAATTTTTTCTTTTCTGCCAACTAATAAAAGAGATTTGAAAAATTCATCAGATAAAATATAAAACAACTTATGTAATGATGCGTTTACGCAACATCAAACTTAATATTTATCTGTATTTAATATTTTCCAATAGATGCACGATATATGTTCATTACTATTTTATTAATTAATTACTATTAATAATAATAGTTATTATTAATTATTAATTATAATAATAGCAATAATTATTATTATTATTGTAATTAATTACTACTTTGAGCAATTTGTTGCAATGATTTTATCGCATTTCATTAAAAATAATTTTATTGATGAATATTAACTGTCCATCACTACAATTAACAAATGGCATAATCTATATTTATAGTTATTTTGTCCATGAGAATTGCATAGGATATAAGTGATTATTAATATCCTTATACATAAAACTGCCTTATTTATAGTCCTTTAAAACATATTAATCTTCATGTATTGTTAATCTCCTTATATTATTTATCTCTTTGTTCAATAATACTAATAGAAATATTTTAAATTCAATTTGATAACCACCATATTCTTCCATTTTATCACTCATATACATTTAATCGTTATACATTATTCTCCATTCCCCAATTTGTAACAATTTTAGAATTCCTTGCAACGGAATTCTTGTGAAATGAAAGATACCAAATGCATTCATAAGAAAAATCAAAGCAGAATAATTTGGGGGAATTTCGTATCCAGTCCTTTGATACCCTAAAGCTTATATCATGGAATTTCACCAAAGCATAAAAAGAGTAGAGCCAATTTTGTTTCTGACACCACGGTAAATTGCGAACATCAATAAAAGTATTTTTAAAAATTTCCGAACTGTTCTAAAATTCAGAGAATGATAGTAGAGGCGTTCCGAACCAGATAATTATTCAGAATAGGTTTTGATGATTTTTTTTTTAAAGAAAAATTTTAAAAGCATAGTTCTTTTCTTGTGAAACTCTTGTTTGCAACTCAAAATTTCGCATGCATACATACATTCATGAACCAAAAGAAAAAATGTTTTTAAGTGCTCCGCCGTCACTTAAAGTCTGAGCTGAGATTACAAAAATGTTCTACATAATTAGATGACTTAGCAGTGAACACGAGTTTTATTCCTTGAATGATTATTTTTTTTAAATCTTTCTACAAGTACAACTTTCTAAATGGGGTAAATTTAAAATGAATAATTATGATATTGGACAATTTTTAATTGTTTGATTTAATAGTTTTTACCTTTTAAATTTTATGTTACAATAAGTTAAATATTGAAATGTTATTGTTATTTATTCGCAAATACATCAATAATGATTTTAGCAAATTATGATAAACAAAAAACAATACGTATTTATTTTAATTAGTTCGGAAAAAGATTGAATTTTTTTGTATTGACTATTTTTCCTTAGAAAACTTCCCTATACTGTTTGTAAAAATTAAATTAAAAAATATTTCTAAATGTATAAAATTTTAAAAAGATCATCCTTTTCCAATATTTCATGAATGGAATATGCAAATAAATATATTTCCTTATTGCTTGTTTTAAAATATACTTAATTCTAAGATTCAGAGATAAACTAAATTTTATGTTACAATAAGTTAAATATTGTAATTATTTCATTCTTATTTATTCACATATAAATCAATGATTCTTTTAGCAACTATAATGTACAAAAAACTCATAGACATACTTATTTTAATTGATATTTTTTGCATTGACTATCTTTTCTTAGAAAACTTCATTTACATTGTTTTTAAAATTAAATATAAAAATATATCTGCATATGTAAAATTTTAAAAATTTTAAAAAGTCACCCTTTCCAATATTTGATTAATTCTCTACCGAATAAATAAATTTCCACGTTGCTTTTT